CCTCGAGCATCGAGCCCGCATCGAGCCCGCGTCGAGCACAAGAAGCGACGCCACTTTGGGGGACGGGCGAGGTCCCCCGCAGCGTAACTCTCTCTCTCTCTCTCGCGACGCACGAGGCCTTAGGCCTGGCTCCCTCCGATCGTCGCCGCGCCCCTTGCCTCCCCGGCACCCTTTTTGGGGCGCGCCGCCGCCGCCGGGCGAGCGGGCCAGGGTCCCGCGCTCGCGGCGCCCCCTCAGCTGGAGGCCTCAGGGCTCCCAACTTCGCGCTTCGCGCTCCGCGAAGCGCGAATAACTTCGCGCCCTCGCGCCGCCCCCCCAAAGGGAGAAAAGGAGGACGAGGAGGAGGGGGAGAAGGAACGAGGACCGCGAAGCGCGAATAACTTCGCGCCCTCGTGGGAGCCCTTGCCTCTTTGGGGTCCGAGCGGATGGGATCGGAGGGTGGCGCCGCATCGGTGATGCATCGGCGATGCGCTGGCGGCGTCGGCGATGCGTCGGCGACGTCGGCGTGGAGAAAGTTGGGCTCCACATCGAGCCGCGTCGGCGACGCGTCGGCGATGCCTCGGCGAGGCGGCGCGATGCTCCAGCCCCATCTGCTCGGACCCCATCTGGGAATCCTAGATCAGTAAAGGTTCAGGAAGTTCGCGACGAGCAGCAACTCCAGCACGACGTCGTCGTCGATGGGGAATTCCGGGATCGCTACCTTTTGTTGGCGGGGAGGTTGGGCGGAGCGCAAAAATCTGCTAGACGACCCACTGGTCGGCTTGAAAACCCAGGGCACGAATCAAGATACGCCCTGACTCCAGATCCGCCGTACTTAGGGAGGTGGGCTGAGTTTCCTGCCCTACTTTTCAAGCTCCTTTGATGCCGATTTCCGCTCCACTGTGCCAGCGCTGTTTCCACCACACCTTTGCTGAAACACTCGCCCTGCTTTTGCCTGAGGCGGGAATGTCCGCCCTGTTGTTTCGTACCATTCGGGGTGCATGTCCGACACAATCCTAAGCCTGAAGACTGACCAAGGTGCGGCGGATTCGGAGTCAGGACAAGCTGCGGTCGAGGATAATTGGAGAAGACGCGCGAGAGAACACGAGACCCTTCCGACAGCCACGCTGCCACAGGAATGTAGAAGGCATGGCCTGCGAAACACAGGACACAAGGGCGACTGTACTTCTACGATTAGGTCGGGCGTTTCCCCCTCCAGGCGGGCTTTGAACGAAAAATCAGAACACCCCCAAAAGACCCCCAAATGGTCAAACATAGTCAAACAATCGTCCCCGTTTTTTTTGTTGTTGGACTATTTTGTAATGCTCCTCCTGTAGGGGGACGTGCCCGACTCAGCTCCACGAGCACACGCCACGTGCACCGACCCCTCTCCACGGAGCCTCCCTGGGCCGCTGCCCTGCGGTCGCCCACGCCCAAGGGGAGTTGCGTTCGTCGATGACGATCGTCTTCCCCCCCTTCAATTGAGCGTGGCCGCGCGCCCCCCTCTATTCCTGAATTCCCGACGCTAAGTTCACCCGATACTGAGCAACAGACAGCACTACCGGCGGGTGCCCGAATAGAACAAGTCGCCCTCCTGCGCTGCTGCTCTCGCTCCTCCCGTCCTCCCGCCCTCCCGCTTCGCGCTTCGCGCTGGGGGGCGGCCCACGCCGCGCCCCGAGACGCCAGGGCAACAAGAGAGTCTGGGCGCCAGGGTGAGCGCCTCGGCCGCACAGTGAGGCACGATCCCCCCTCCTCCTCCTCCTCCTCCTCCTCCTCTTCCTCCTCCTGCCCTCGACCACCTTCCCCTCTCCTCCACTCCCCAGTCCCCCTCGCCCGCCACTCCCTCCCCCCATTCCGGCAGGAAAAAGGACAGGGGGAGGCACGAAGACGCGGAGAAGGAGGGGGCAGGGAGGGGAGAGACGAGGGCGGGGAGGAGGGAGGAGCAGGGACGAAGGAGGACGCAGAAGGGAGGACGAGAGGGACCCTAGACGAAGGGAAGCAGAAGGGAGGGCGACAGGGACGAAGGAGGAAGCAGAAGGGAGGACGAAGGAGGCAGAAGCGAGGAAGAAGGGAAGCAGAAAAGGAGGAACACGGACGAAGGAGGCCAGGGGTTAGCGGTCGGCAGATGGGGACGAAGGTCCCGAGGCCTGCCCTGATCAAGCGAGCACCCACGAGCCCTCCCAACGCCTGTCCCCCTAGCGGCCAGAAGGCGAACGACGGGCCCATGTGGGACCCCCGAGAACCAGCAACCTTGCCCCCCCCTGGCTCCTGATCCGCCGTACTTTGGATGATTTTCCGACCTAAAATTGTGTCGGAAATCGACGCCAAAGGAGCCTCAAGGGCGGAAATCGACGCTCAAAGGGGCCTTAAAAGTAGGGCGGAAATTTCCGCCCTACTTTCGAAATCGCCCAAAGTAGGGCGGATCAGGAGTCAGGGCCGGGGTAAGCCAGGGATGGCGTGCGAAGTATGTCTTACAGGGGCTTTCCTGACTTCGGTGCCTTGCTTCCCACAGCCTCCGCGGCCGACCTCCGAGCACGCACGGAGACAACAGCTTACACTAGGGCTCCCAACTTCGCGCTTCGCGCTGCGCGAAGCGCGAAGTGCGAATAACTTCGCGCTCTCGCGCCGCCTCCCAGGGGAGAAGAGTAGGATGAGGAATCGGAGCCGAACCGCGAAGCGCGAAGCGCGAATAACTTCGCGCCCTCGAGGGCGCCCTTGGAGCACGCACGGAGACAACAGCTTACACATCCCACTGGGTGCAGCGGGTACTGCGCCCACCTCCTGCAGAAGACGTGGACGGTCAATTAGTGGATGTCCTACCTGCTTATCGCGCTCGATCTTCGCCTCGGCCCCCCGACAACCCAACCAGAGGGGGGGGGGGCGAGGAGGAGAGGCAGGTGACAGGAGGGAAAATGGAGGAGGAAGGATCGAGTAGGGAGTATGAGGAGTTCATGAAGGCGGGAGGAGGTGGGAACGAAGTGGGCAGAGAGTGGGAGGGAGGGAGAGGAGGGAGGAGGAGTGATCATGGAGGAGCGGACGGGGGGGGAGACGTGCAGGAGACAGTAGGGGGACAGCGGAGCAGGAAACTTAAGGAAGAAGACGGCATGAGCTATGGCAATCGTCATGGTGAGGAACAGATGCAGGGAGGGAGGCGCTGTGCATCGGGGGAGCCTTGGAGTCTGTGTACTTGTACTTGTAGTACAGGTACTCGATGACCTTCTCGAGGAGCTTGCCAGTGATGGTGGGAAGTTTGATTTCGTTGGTCTGTCCCTCCTGAGAAAGGGGGATGCGGGTGGCAGGGAAGGTTGCGCCGATTAAAGCAAATAATCAAGAATGAACGAACAGGGTGGACGGCGGAGAGAGAGAGAGAGATAACAAAAAAAAAGAGGAGACAGAGAGAGAGAGAAGAGAAAAGAGAGGGAAGCAGAGATGGCGGTGGTGACTCGAAGGACAGCTGACTAGAGATCAGATTGCTTCCCGCACTGGGGTGGGCTCGTTTTCGTGCGCCACATGGCGCGTATGCTCGTTTTCGATGCTCGCTTGCGTGCGCCACATGGCGCACATGCGAGTTGAATGTCCGCTCCCCAGAGAAATCCGATCTCTCCATCCTGGTCGGCTGCCGTTGCCGCCGACCCCGGCGCCTCGCTTGGTACCTCGCCTTGTCACTGCCGCACTGCGTTTCCTCGTCCTCGTTTCCCTCTCTTTCCCCTCTTTTCCCACTGTTTTCCCCCTCGTCCCCACCCCTCGCGGCTTACCCCCCGCGAGTGTTGCTGCCGATCCCCCGTGGGTGGATCCAGCTTCTCCACGCTGCGTAAGCTGGCCCGGCCCGCGCGTTCGCTTGACTTGACCTACGCGCGCGTGGCCGGCGCCAAACAATGTTGTGTGTGTATGTTGCGTGCGTGTGTGTGTGTGTGTGTCATTATATATGCCTAACTACTCGCTCTCCCCACCTTCCAGCCCCGGTTGGCTTATGTCGCCCTCCACCTCACCGTAGCCTCGTCTAGCCACTGCCCACCCTCCGCCATCCATGCCCGGATGGTGAGGAGTGCGGAGGGAGGAGGGAGGAGGGCGGAAGGAGGAGGGAGGGAGGGAGGGAGGGAGGGAGGGAGGGAGGGAGGAGGGAGGAGGGAGCAGGGGTAGCTGCTGGTGGCTGCGAGGCCCAAGTGGTCTCCGAGTGCCCGGGCGGGCTTAGGCGCGCGCGCGCGCGATTCGCTGCGTTCTGACCTTCTGCGCCTTGTTGCCACGCGCGGGACCGCGACGCCCAATATGTGTGCCTGTGTGTGTGCGCGTGTCTGTGTGCGTGTGCGTGTGACCCTGGGTTGTCTCTCCTCGGCACGTGTCTCAGACAGGTGCCCGGGAGAGACAACCCAGGCTCCTCGCGTTATGCGTCAGCACGCTCTACGATGCGCATGGAAACCACCGCGCGACAGGGCGCGCCTGCGCACCGAAACCATCAAGAAAAGCTCAATTTCGTTTGGAATGAATTTCGGCGCGCGCCCCTTTTCGTCTCCAAAGAAAGTGCCACTACGATGTCTGGGGTGGGCCTTCGCTGGCTTCGTCTCTCTCCCCACTGTGGTTCCGCCGTTGCGGGTCGCCGCTGCGCCTCGTCTTGTCGACACGTACCGGCACTGTCACCCTTGTCTCGTCCTCCCCGTCTCTCCCCCACTCCTCGCGCCCCCCCCCGCGAGCGCCTTGGTTCATCCCCTATGGGCGGCTCCCAGTCCCCACGCCGCGTGATCTGGGCGGCCACGTGCGTCTCTTCGCCCGACTCTCTCCGCCTCGACGCTGCGCGCGGGGCAGCAACGCCAAAAAGAGTTTGCGTATGAGGAGCCTGGCCCCCACCTGGAGGGCATGGACAGCGGGGGAAAGAAAGGGAAAGGGGGAGAGGCGTTCGAGCCGATGTCCTTGAAACCATCCTGCTCCACCATCTTCCGGAAGAAGTCGCACTCGTAAGCGATCCGGCGGTCCAAGTAGAAGTGGTGGCCATCTGCGCTGACCAGGCGAATGTAGGAAAAGTTCGCCTGAGAGACCGGCGGACCGCTGGGAGGCGAGCCGTCATGCGTGAGGCTTCAAATGTGTGGCGCGCTCGCCTTGCGCGAGAGGAGGACAATGAGGAAGATACAAGATACTGCAGACGGGACCAGGTTGGCATCTGGGGACAAATACGCCGCCCGAATCTCTTGAAACTTCCGCAGCCCCCAGTCAACGTCACCACAATCACGTGGGAGCCAGAGCGAAGATACCGGGGAGATCCCTACAGAAAATACTGGACCGAGTTGCCGATGGCGTGCGCAAGTCCCCAGACCAGCACCATACCCTGTCGGCCGAAAGCATGGATGAGCGGCGAGAAGATGTGACAGAGAGGTGATGATCGGGAGCGGGAGGGAGCAGCGCCTCGGCGCGATCGACCTGTACCAAAGAACTACCGCAAAGCGGGGGAGTCGCGCACCAATCTGAAGAAGGAAACCTCGAATGGTGCTAGGAAGCTGGAAGCACACACGGCTGGATTCACACGCGGAACATGTGGAGGCCGCTTGCTGGGTGCGCAGGCGGAAGGCTAGCGCTACCAAGCCACACGAGGCCCGAACGCTACCACGAAAACATGCGGCTGCACGTGTGCCCAGCCCTCGCCCAAGCCAGCCGCACGATGCGTGCTCAACAACTTCCTGGTAGGCCCACGCTCGTGATCGTTTAGCATTCTGACTCTCGACCGGGGAGTTACTGCAAACATGCTCCTGACTCAGAGTGTTCGCCTGCAGTAGGGGCCCGACCACAAGAAACCTTCCACGAGAAACCCAACCCGGAGACCCCAGAACGTCCATGGGTCTTTCTTTGGTGTGGGACCGTCACGATTTCCACAGCAAAACCGTCGAAACCCAGATATGAAAACAAACAACATCACCCCCCTTTCTTGCTCTCCCGTGTCCCTGCTAACCACATGAGCTTATGTGGCTAAACATCGCAAGAAAAAGACAAGCCGTAATTCTGACCCAGGCGAATGGATGCGAAATGAGCGAAGCCCATGCGCTCAACTGGTCCGGGCAAGAACCGCCGCGAGTCAGCCAGGGCAGCTGGTACAATCAACTCTAGGAGAGAGCAGGCGCGCACCAGAAGCACGCGGATCCGACTAATACACGTGAACTCGATACGACCAAGAAACCCGTACACTGCACCAGCCAAGATAATTTAACACGCGCACACACGGTACGGTTAGACCAAGCGTTCTGGAAGACGAGAGCCTCGGCTTTGACCAACATTATCAACGTGGTGGTGCAAGCCAAGTGGGCTGACATTGTACGTCTTACAACAAATTTGACGATCTACTTTCAACAGCGAGGTTGGCACACCTTCTGCTTTACATGCATGTAAGTGAAGTCCAGGTCGGTAATATTAAACTGACTACTTACCAGACCACCCTAACCCAACCCGAAGACCCGAATTTGATCGAATTTCGGGTTGGGGGGGGGTACGGGTTCCATGTGTTTTTTGATGTTCCCCAACCCGCCCCCCCACTGGAAATCGAGGGCAAATTGACGCCTTCGGGCTGGGTTGGGGTGGTTTGGTAGGTGGTGCTAAACGGCGCGACACGACGGACCATTCCCCTCCCTGATCCCCCGCCCCACACCATCCGCTCCCAGTAAAGCGCAATCCGCAACGCACCAGTTCCCCAGCTCAAGCTTAACTGTCGGTGGGGTCGTCCGATGCGGGCTGCCTGCCCGCCGTGCAGTCGTTGTTTCAATCTTCTGGAGGTAGGAAAGGGGTATGGTATAAAGGGGTGTGGTGCTAATTTCGTGTCAAGGGGAATATGGCGCTGTTATGCATCGCAGATCGCATCGCCATTTCCACGATTGGCACCATACCCCTTTATGCCACACCCCTTTCCGACCTCCAGAAATGTGGCTGAGACCCAACATTTGCCTGCCACCTCACCGGGGGGGTCCGACTTCGGGAGAGGGGCAAGACTATCATACCGGCGTGCCGCAGTCGGCCATGTCCGCCAGGCCTCCCCCTGGGCTGCGGCGCAAGGTGCATGCCGAGGCCCGCATGCGTGCCCTTGAATAACGAGTTGTTATCCAGCTGTCCAGCTGCCCGCGGTACACACCGCCACCGTTCCAGTGCAACGACGCAACAGGAAGGCTGCTGAGTGTAGGAACGACGCGGGTCGTGATCCCGACCTCGTCTTCGTCCGCGCGGTAGGGAAGAGGAGGAGGAGGCGGAAGAGGAGGGGCAGTGCAAACCAACGACTCATCAACGATGTTGGAAAGAAACCTTCCCTCCAAACTCCCCCATCACAGTCCCTACAATAATTCATTCCACTGAAGGGTCCGCCTCGTTGGGTGACAGCCGTCTGAAGACCCTGAAGCGTGCCAACACACCATTCTCGTCGCTCCAACGCCACGAATCAACATGACGGTTGCGTCTTGGCGATCTGGAGTCGTGCCAGAACACCGGTCCTGCGGCTTGAGCACGGCGAATCAACATAATTGTTGCGCCCTCACAATCCTGAGTCCTTCTGGAACACCATTTCTGGCACGCTGACCATGGGAATCCGTGCAACTCTTACAATGTTTTGAAGCGACTGTGCGCGGCACTGAAGCGAGAACCACATTTTGAAAACGAACCGTCCTCAATCCGTGAAGCTTTCGCGATCTGTTTTATATAATGTGTGCGGCACTCAGACGAGAGCCACGTTTTGAAAACCAGCTGCCCTCAATCCGCAAAACTCTTGCAACTTCTGTTTGAACGAATGTGCGCGGCGCTGAGACGAGAGCAACGTTTTGAAACCACCCGCCCTTCATCCTTGAAACTCTTGCAATATCTAACACGAATGCGCGCGGCGCTAAGCCGAAAGCCACGTGTTGAAAACCACCCGTCCTCCATCTGTGAAACTGTTGTCGATGTTTGAGCTTCAGGGTCATAAGCTGTGAGGAAGTCTGAGGCGAAACGTCCGGCCCGCACTTTCGACTGACCTCGGGGTGCGACAGGGAGGAATTAGCAGGAAAAGGAATGGAAGACAAGGGGGAGGAGGAGGAGGAGGAGGAGGAGGAGGAGGAGGAGGAGGAGGAGGAGGAGGAAGAGGAGGAGGAGCAGGAGGAGGAGGAAGAGGAGTAGGAGCAGAGGGAGAAAATGGGGACGAGGAGGGGAATCCTTAGGGCCCTCTTGGGGCCTTCTGGGGCCCTCCTGGGAGCTCCCTGGAAGCTTCTTGGAGCCCTCCTGGGGGCCCTCATGTGGCTTCTTGGGGGCCTCTTGGGGCCTCGTAGGCCGCCTTCAGGAATTCTGAGCCCGCCTGACGCCTGTGGGGGCCGCCTTAGCGGTCTTTCTGAGCCGTGCTGGCGCTCTCTAGGAGCGGTTCATGGCAGTCTTGGGGCCCCTTTCGGGTCTCCCAAAACTTTGGGAGCCCCTTAGGCGATCTTTCAAACTTTTTGGGTCGACTTGAGGCCCTCTTGAGGGTCTCTTGGGCTGTCCTGGAGCTATCGTGGAGGCCTCTTGGAGGCTTCTTGGGCCTGTCTTGGGCGGTCGGAAACCCAAACATGCCAGAACGTCAAAATCCATCAAAAACCCTCGGGAAAACCAAAAGGAACTCCATCACAAATCCATCAAAACTCCATCACAATCCATCAACATCCATCAAAAACCCTAGGAACAAACACGGGTGTTCCACCCTCGGGCTCTCCAGAAAAGGGCCTCTCGGATGGATCCCTCTTGGGCCGTTTTGGGGGGAATCATGCTACAGGCCTCGGCAAAAAAAAAGCGAACAATCATGCCACATTCGCCTATGAACGCCTCCCCCTTCCACCAATGTTCAAAGTTGGTGGTGGGTCTGATGAGTTGCACCTCGACCGCAGTCTCCCCCGCGCGCGCGCCAACTTCGAGTTTGGGGGGCAAGGGGGGTGTTCGCTAATTGTTTCCCTTTACCGTAAACTTTGAAGCTGTCTTGGGAGCCTCTTGGTCCGTCTTGGGCCATTTTGGTGTCATCTTGGCTGCCTTGGAAGCCGTCCTGCAGGCCATGAAGCTCCCGAGAAGGCCTCAAGCCATTATCAAGAGGCCCCCAAGACGGCCCAAGAGGTCTCCAAGAGGCTCTCCAGGAGAGCCCTGGGAGGTCAAAACCAAAGATGCTCCTCAAATATTTGATGATTCGGGGTTCTGGCATGGTTGGGTTTCCGATCGCCCAAGACAAGCCTCTCTGGTCCGTCTTGGTGCTCTCTTGGAGCATTTCAAAGCCGTCTTGGGGCCCTCTTGGGAGCCCTTTGGGCGATCTTTGGGTCCTCTTGGGCTGACTTGGAGCCCTCTTGTGGTCCTCTTGAGCGGTTTGGAGCCATGTTGGAAGGCTCTAAGAGCCTCCTGGGTCGTCTTGGGCGGTCGGAAACCCGAGAAGGCGATAACCTCCAAATCCTTTCCAAACCATAAAAAGAATCAATGGTTTTTGCCCCCTCGGGCTCTTCAGGAACACCTCTCGGAACTTATTGAGCTGTTGGAGCCATCTTGGGCCGTCTTGGGGGCCTATTGTGCAGTCTTGAGGCTGTCTCGAGAAGCTCTTGAACTGTGTTGGGCCATCTTGAACCATTTGGGTGTCATCCTTGCTGGCTTGAACGCAATCTGGGAGGCCATACTGGCCGTCCGGAAATCGAAAAGAGCGCTGGGGAGCAACTTCAGGGGGGGGGGGGGGCCTACGCGAGCGCGCGCGAACCGGGGAGGGGGGTCGGCCCTGGCAAACGTGGAAAAAAAACACTCCCAGATGGACCACAGGGGTGGGCGTGTTAGAATGCGCGTAGTGGGCGCGTTAGACTGCTCCTGTGGCCCCGCTGGGAATGTGTTTTATATAAAGAATCTCTGACCGACCCCACCCCCCAGGGTCGCATGCGCTCGCGAAGATGGCCCCCCCTGAAGTTGCTCCTCTGCGCTCTGTTCGACCTCCAGACGGCCAAACTGGCCTCCAAGATAGCTTCCAAGACAATCAAGATGACACCCAAATGGCACAAGATTGCCCAAGACGGCTCAAGAGGCTCTCAAGACGGCCTCC